CCACCACCAGATCCCCTCTTCTCGCTCGCTGATCCACTCCATAGCAGCAGTGGGTCGAATATGTTGTAGGCGCTCAGTCTCCTCGGAAGACTTTAACGAAAAAGAGTTGATGTTAAAGGTCAGAACTATCCTTAATATACCTTCCAGAAGCTCCTCCCGTGCGCACTCAAAGTCACCATTCACTCTCCCCATATACCCCACATGCTAAAGGTAAAAAATACATCATATCAGGGTATAGAGTTACTTTAATTTTCTGCTAAACCAAATCAACTGGGAAAGCTTTCCTAGGTCTAGGGATCTCCCTCCTTGTACGATGTCAGTCCCAAACGCAGTGAGTGCAGTGGACGACCGATGGCAGGGCGTTGCATCGTTGGTCCTCCCTATATCGAAGTTAGCCGTACCAGTGAGTCCCGGGACTCGCGCGCACCCTTTTTTGGGGGTTGGGTTCGAGTCCCGCACAAGGAAAAAGGAGGGCAATTCTTTTTGGCTTTCTCTATTACTTGGTGAATGAGGGTCGGCCATGATTGTTCCTCGCGTGCGTGCTAGCGGGAAGTATCGCGAATAGCTTGATTTCACTCTGCAAATCAAGTCAAGGAGCTCGCTCAATCGCTGCCACCTTACACTACCATAGTGGCGATTAACACTCTATAGCCGTGTGATGCAGTAGAATAGCCACTCGTTTCCGCATTGCCAGCACCGTCAGCACATTTTATTCCTCTGGGACTCTCCTATTACATACATATGCCCTTGGAAGACTACAGTATGCAGCCGCTCAGGGCAAGCTTTATCACTGGTGTTCCAATAAGGTACCCTTTTGAGTGTCATTCAACCCAACGAGAGACTCTATCTATCTGTCTAGAAAGTCTCGGCATCGACCTCCTTCATATGACCCCTCTCTACTCGACATAATGTACGGGTTTTACGGCATTCGTACTTGGCTCTTTACTGGTAGACCTGAGTGGCTGGATTACTCTGACCATCGTGACCGTGGGTGTTGAAAGTAGTACAAGCAGTAGGAAAAGATGGGATGTCTCCCTACTACGAGGTAGTGAAGGAAGGAGGTACGAGAAAAACAAGCTGATGCTTGGTGTGATAAAATTCACTATCCTCTAGGGCTTGGAGGCTTAAAAGGTCCATTAAGAATCCTGCTTCCAATAATGCCAACGGCTTCACCCCACATTCTATGCAGCTCCCCCTCCACGTTTGGCACATTGTAGTGTGGCCGAATTCTTTCTAAGAAATTGTCCAAGTCGCCAAAGGTGTGACGATACGCAGCTAACAAGGTAAGCATGTTCCTGATCGCAATCCCCTGAACGTGACGCGCTCTGATGAGATCGGCAAATGGCCGGCCTAGGCCATCGTCAAACCCGCGATCGATGACACGCCCCTCAGAGTCTTGCAGCTTGTAGCTTTTCGGGAACAGCGTCCTCCGACAATTCGGGCATGTATCCGTAGCTCGGTGGGTTTTGTTCACCCATGTTTCCAGACACTGCGCCCCAAAGACATGGCCACACACCTCCAATTCCACCGCGTCGTTCTCGGCGTGAATCTCTTGACAGATAGTGCACTTCGCGTCTTCAATCAGCGGGCCATCGTAGATATTCGAAAAACGTGCGATATCAAGGTCCAGACCCCTACGGTCTAGTCGGACATCCCTAGGTTCCTTCACTAATCTGGCGGCAGCTTCAGCAACAACGCAGACGCTCTGCTGTACCTTCTCGAGTTCGGCGAGAGCGGCAGAGAGCCGCCGCGCACTTAGCACAGCGAGGTACCGCATTTCATCATCAAGCCACTGTCTCATCTTTTCGTTCGGGTAGTTATCTTCTCGAGCACTTATGATCTTGAAATCGAGCAACAGCGCGGCGACTGCGTCCCGCATACACAGGCACTCTGATCCGGGGGTATTCAGCTTGTATTTTCGTTGAAAATGCCAGGCTCCAAACAGAGTGAAGGCATCCTTCTGGTCAGCGGTCCACTGGTTGTAGGGCCGGTTTCCGTAGAGCTGGCATTCCTGAAGGAGATAAGGCCAAGGAAATTCCCGAAGGAGATGAGGCCAAGGAAATTTCTCAGTAGTTTCGGCTGAGTTATCGCGCAATCGATCATTAAGGGCACCCATGCGTTTGTCGAGGTATCCTTTTCGCAGGTGCGTATACATCGAACGCCTACGCATCATGTTTTCGGGGGCCGAATGTTTTGCCTCTGGCTGACTCTCATCACTCTTTGGATCTCCAAAGACTGGGAAACCGTGTAGATCGAGCTCGAGCTCGAAGTAGGGCATAGCAAGTGAGACGTCAAAATTCTCCGGGCTCTCCATCCGAAAGTACCATAGGAAGTCTTCCTCTGCGGACGAATCAGAGTCCTGCTGTGCGGACGAATCAGAGTCCTTCTCTGCGGACGAATCAGAGTCCTCCTCTGCGTAGAAAACCACTGATTCAATGGCGCGCTTAATCTCGGTCATTGTGAATGGCGATCTGCGCGGGTGATTGATTGCGGGCAGGTTGTGGTAGATGGAGAGCAGTGTCTCGGCCGCCTGCTTCTCCGTCGTCGTCGGCCCGGCAGCCATGCTGTGAAATGTGTATCTGAGAAATAATGAATATGAATGCGGTTATGGGTGGGGTCGAAAGATTGCAGATGCGAATGGTTGTTACGGTCAAATAAACAAATACGAGACAAGATCAGGCTGGCCACACCGAGCCTTCGAGAAGGCACACCTGTGCATCGGAAATTGTGATGAGAAGGAGCAGAGTACATGCCGCAAGAAATCGTGGGCCGATGAATGGAAAAGATCTGCCCGACACTTTTGACCACTTTATGTAGTGTTTCGAAGGATCCCCAGAAGGTCAAGAGCTGGAAGGGGACCTCGCATCTTTGCAGTGTCGTCTGGCGAGGTGGAGGTGTTCAGGGTCTGTTTTCATCTCATCTTACTCTTGAAGAAAGGGCAGGGCGGTCTGCCATTGGTACAGGCAAGAAGACTTGTCCCGATCGTTAACTTGGCGCGTTACACCAGGAAAGGATCTGATTCACTATTTTATAGGGAGTGGCATTTTCAGTGATCCGGGAAATTACCGCCGCGAGCATGATTCCGAGGTCGCTTTGTGAGTTTATGAGTCCATTCATGTTCGAAATGACACCAGTTTGCATATACAAGAACAAAGCAGATTGGCGAACCTATCTAGAGAGTACACGCTTCGCCACGTCATGCGCAAGCTATCAAGTTTTCGAGGTATATATTTACAGAGTGTCCTTGAGCATCTTGTTCATTTTGGCCATCCTGGACGAAACACTCAGATCGATAGTCCGGTCGCCAATCTCGACGACAAGGCCGCCACGGATATCGGGGTTGACCTGGTTTTATTAGCGTCAGGATACCTAGATTTTGAGGTGTAGGTATATATACGTACCTTGGGAACGACCTTCAGCTTCTTGCCTTGTCCGACGTATTGTGACTTGGAGATGGCGCTCTCCAACCGGCTGAGGGTTCTGTTGTCGAGAGGCTGTTATTTATGATATTGATTAGCAAAGTGGCCATGTAAGGCCATAGGCCCTTGATCCCCGATAGCCGGTCAGACTTACAGCAGCCGAAGTAACCGTGAGCTCAACCTCGCCCCTCGCAGCGCCCATGAGCACAGCAAACTTGTCGGTAACAGACTCCAAAACGCCCAGGCGGTTGTTGTCAGCAAGAGTCTTCAAGAAGTTCTTGACGATGTCCCCTTTATCCACATTGCCGATGTGCTTGGCCAACTCGGCGACGATCTGGTTCTTGTCGCCAACGGTGAGCATGGGGGCATGCAGGACAGTGTTGAGCTTGGCGTCCTTCTTGAAGACGGCGGCGAGCGTCTCGAGGGCTTTGGAGGTGCTGTCGAGAGCGGAGGTCTTTGCGGCGGCCGTGTACTGCGAGGAAAAAGCGAGTTAGCTCGGATGTGCCATTGAAGCGCGTGGGGATCCGAATGGTCGAGTCCGCCATCTCGAATGACTCCACAGAGCTGACAGTCACATACCAGAGCACTGGCATAGGTTCCGTCAATGCCGTAGAGCGCAACCGGTGGCCTCGTCGTCGCGGAAGCGGCAGCTTGGGCATAGCATCGGAAGGAGGCCCGTGGAGCAATTGGAGCTTGGCTGGTAGCCGACCGCGCCGCCTGGGTGAGGACCCGACCAGAGAACATGTTGTGGAGGAGTGGAGAGGTGTGTGGTGTCGGAATGGGATGTGGTGGAGCTGTTTGCTGATGGAGCGCGAGTGGAAGTTGATCGAGTTTGAGGTTGGATGACTAAGCCCGAAGACTTGGCACTACATAGTTCCGACCCTCACTTCTTTTTGCAGTCTACGTCCATTACCCCGACTCCATCCTCATTCACATAATCCATGCCATTCAAGGCTCACACGTCTCGCCTCAACTATCGGATCGCAAGGGTGGAAGGGTGACCGACCTTCTAGCTTTCAGTGATTGCCTCACTCGCATTCCCCTCGTCCGGAGCCCTCCACCGGTTCTAATACATATAGTTTTATGAAGCTTGGGAACGCTATTTCTAGGGACTTCAGATCGCTCACTGTCTAGGCCAGCTGCTGAGATTGCGAACCTGGTTGTGGGAACTATCTCCTACACCGAAGCGTAGTCTAGATACGTAGACATAGAGTAAACTTTGCTCACCTAGCGTCTCTATCTACTGTTCATATCTCGTGCATGGTTTATTTAGATACCATTTGTATGAGCGCGAAGCTCTTTTGAGTCCTCTTTGACCTTAGTAGGTTCTTCTCTGTTCTTCTAATCCGGAGCTCGCCCCTCTGTCCGCGTAACTGGTACTGAATCATCAGCGGAAGCTGTCTTCGTTGGACAAATGGTGCTCAATCGAACCCCCCAGAATTCTCGTGGCATAATTACCCACCCAGTAAAAACTGAACCTTTAACGCCGTTCCATCTGTCATGGCAAGAAAAAAGAGCTATGCTCAAGCTACATAGACACCCATAAAAGAAATATCGAGCAAAAAACAAAAAAGGTAGATGCGACACGAGCAGGATTCGAACCTGCGATCCCGAAGGAACTGCCTTACAAGCTTGTAGCAGGGCAGCGCTTGAACCACTCAGCCATCGTGCCGTGATTTTGAGTTGGGCTGCCTTTATTGTATTCACATTGTATGGTAGTATAGAGCATTAGGTCGTTTTGCCACTATCATGCTGTTGATGGAAGTGAGAAACAAGGGAATCCTAAAGGTAGTATCTGATTGGCTACCCACATTCCCTTCTCGCTCATCTTAGCAAACAGCATGGTCACATGTGTTGTCACTATATGTCTCCTGATGGCATTCAAATAAGTCCACTACATGGGCATCCACGCTAAAATTTCGCCGTTGTAGTTGATCTGATAAAAATATTTGAATGCATACACACCAAGCTCCGCAATGTTCCTTTCGGCCGCTGCCTACAATCAGATGGGGGCCTGGGGCCTGTTCTAGGACTCGGAAAGTCACCCTTAATGTACTTCTCTGAGGGCCTGTTTTCTGTTTTCAATTAAGGGGCCCGCTGCATATCAGCTTGGTCTTTGGAGACAGTCTTCTCCCTAGTCCTAAACAAGTTCAAGAATATCTCACCATTCAAGGCTTTCTGGAACTGGCCCCCAATAGCTTTGAAAACTCCTGTCATCGGCGAAATGTCTGGGTCCCTAGAGGAGTTTGGCGGAATAGAGAGCAGAGCTCGAATTGTTCTCGACTCCAAGGAAGCTAGCTGCTGTCACCCAGCATATCGTTATCCTAAATAAAACCTAGTATGAAGATGGCCGCGGTCAATGTCGCTGCGGAATACCCGTAGACCAAGAGCTCGCTCCAACGGCACATGAAGCAAACAGTTAGCAAACACCCGTCATTCTCTTCTTGAAATCGCGCATCTTCTGGCACTCCCGTGCACCTGGCCGGAATACATCGCGACAAAGGTATAAACCCTCTTGTTGGCATCGCAGTTGCGTTTTTCCTCATCTGGCTCTTTCTGTGACTAGCACATGGGGCATGGACGGGTTGTTCGCTTCACGGTACGTACAGACGAGAATATTGCCTAAGCTCACTCTTGACAAAAAGGGATGCTTGGTTTGGGCTTATCAAGCTGTTCACCTAATCATCTACGAGATTGGTGTGGTGACAAGCTAGTTGCGATATCGTCGTTCATAAGTTGGACCGTCGTTCAGATCAATGCTTCACAGGATAATACTTCGAAGATTACAATCAAAGCAGTCGACGATAGTGGGATTTCCGATATGCCAAATCATAATACACTCATACGTAGAGAGATCTAGGCTGTCATTCGAAAAGGATTGAGTGATGTTCACTATGGCTGCGCCGAACGAGCCTGCGATCGATGAGCTACCGAGCAAGGCGGGCGAAAAACTCCGCGCGTGGCCAGCGAAACGTCGGCGATGCTTGATGATAGGGCGAGCGCTATAATCAAAAGCCGATCCCAGCAATGCATGCCATTTTCGGTCCGTCGGGAGGAACGCGCAATTGGATCCGGGGTAATCTCGATGCTGGTCACTCCTACCTGCTTAAAATATTTCATACGTTTAATATTGTTGGGTTCTGATGCCGTGGCTGTTGAGTTTCGATCCTCCGAGGCTTCAGACTTGAGCACGAGGAGACGGCAACTTCTTGGAATGAGCCCGAGGACAACCATCACAACCATCACAACCATCACAACCATCACAACCATCACAACCATCACAACCATCACACCTAAAAAGCCACAGCAGGCCTGCCCACATCAGGCTTGAGCTGGCCCGTTCATGCCGTCGCCCCGGGCCGTACCCCAGGTTGGCGACCCATGGCACGAGGCATGAAGATCAAGCCATAACTAACATCAGGTCCCTGCGGGCCAACGGCCCTATCAGTGGTTTACATCCAAGCGACGTAGGGTGGTCTCGAGAGGATGCCAATCGGGAGGGTGGATGGACGAGAAGGATCAGGGGGATGCTTGGGAGGAAGTTTGAGGAAACCCTCTAACTCGATACAGATTGGATCTACTCCCGATTAATCTGCGGCATGCACCGCACCGAAGCCACATCTCTCTGCCCTCGTCCACCCCCCCGCAGTCACTTGGGCAAGCTGGCTCTTCATTGAGCACGTAGAAAGTCGATGGGTGTGAAGATCGCGGCATGCTCGTGCTGCAAGATGTGCATATTAGAGAGCGCCCGCACGCATCGGCGCGTGGTGAGTATGCCTCTTATTTTTCTCTTCGGGTCTTAGAATTGTCAAATGTTGCCTCGTCTGCTTCTCCTTAGTAAACAGCCCACCATTTCTGTGCCCCAGCCATCCCTGTAATTCTCATTGGAGAACCATGGCCCCAATTCCAGGTCGTCCCATGCCGCTGGAATTGTCCTCGAGTTTGTCGACCCGGGAGAGGAAGAGGGACTCGTATATTTCGCGCTTTTGTCGACCGCGCCACGGCCCCTCTGCTGTACGTACATCAGAGGCCGGTAGAGCTAACCCCTCTGCCTCCGGCTCAAGCCCATCAACGCATCTCTCGTTTCTAGGAAGTGTGATACACAGCATGCAGGCTTCTATACGTACTAATCAAGAAAGCGCTTGCGCCTTCCATCGAATCAGAACTACCGCAGGACCTGATTCTTGCCCTCTATGGCGAGAAGCGGGTATCGATATCATCTTCGACTAGTACAACAGCGGCTCTATTCGATCCTCTCATTATTACGGCATGGGAAAACCAAGAACTTTTGATGGCCCGCGTCCTCACTAGCGTGGATATCATCGAAATGTATCTTAAACAGATCGAGCAACATAACCGACGCGGTCGACAGCTTCGAGCATTGATATCGGTTGCACCCAAGCACGAACTGCTGAAGATTGCGAAGAATCTTGACCACGAGCGCGCACAAGGGAGGGCGAGAAGTCCACTTCATGGCATACCTATTGTTCTGAAAGACAACATTATGACGGATATGACTCTCGGTATGGACACTACTGTTGGATCTTACGCCTTTGTGGGGGCGATACCAAGGAAGAACGCGACAATAGTGGAGCGTCTTCAAAAGAAAGGAATGATCATTCTTGGAAAAAGCAACATGACCGAATTCTGTGGTATGCTGAAGCTACCCTGAAACTGTATTGGTGCTTGAGGACAGCGCTGATGAGCTGCTAAGTCTAAAAACCCCACTCATGCCTCCTGGATGGTAAATTTTAGCTCGACTTCTCGAGGAATCGCTCTTATAGACTTTAGGTCATCAGTCGGGGGGCAGACACAGTCTCTTTTCGTTGCTAGACACATTGCGAAAAAGAAGCTGCATTAGGAATTATCGGCTCCAGGCGGGTAAGTTCTCCGTTCTTCGATTTCCGTTTCTGGAGCCATTTGACATCATTTTCTAGCTGATCCACTGGATCAGCGGTCAGCGTAGCAGCGGGCTTTAGTACTCTCGCAATCGGGACTGACACCATTGGATCTTTGATCACACCGGCAAATCGGGCGGCGCTGTACGCGCTGAAACCTACAGTTGGCGAAATCCCCATGGACGGAGTGTTTACTCTCGGCAAGACATTCGATACTGCTGGAGGTATGGCGAAATCAGCAAAAGACCTCGTTCATCTCATGGATGCCTTGATGCTGCCCTCGCGCCACGAATACGGTACACGAGCTATAAGTAGCTATTTCAGGATCAAGGAAGGCTGGGGCAGCCTTCGGTTAGGTTTTACGGAACCGCTAGTGTGGAAGACATGGCTTCAGAATGGTCGGATAAATTCAGATGCGGAACGATATATGGTAGGTTATCAGTCCTAAACGAAGCCGGATGGATTCAAGATCAGACGTCAGTCCCAGCAGACCTACCATATCCCTTGAGAGATCTCTAGTCCTCTTGTTGCGCCGAGCTGACAGCAAACAGAGGCAAAAGTATGAGATATGGTAAACTCGCTCATAGAGATGGGCGTCCACGTAATCACACCGGTTGAGCTTCTAGCTCCTTCTGCTTTGAATCTCGAGGGTCGAAACTGCTTCGAACCAATTGTGTGTAAGCTGTATTAGTGAGAGCTGTACTAGCTAGGGAGACTGTCTCGTAAATTATACTGATTCTAAGCTAGATCACGAGTTTAAGGATACTCTTAATTCCTTCATCAAAGATTTTAAATCAACGAAGGTCCACTCTCTGGCAGAAATCATAAACCTCAATCTGGAGCACCCAGAGCTATGCCTGGTCAGTGATCCTTTTCTGTAGCTTCATGTTCTGGCTGACCTCTCCCTAGCCACCTAAATCACCCAACCAAGACGACTTGACGGCAGCAGCGGGATTCAATAGTGGGGTCTTGACAGAATCAGTTCAAACAGCAAGAGAACATCTCCAAAATGAGAATGGACTGGAAAGACTACTCGAGGAGCATGAATGCGATATCATTTGCGCTCCTGGTGATAGTGCCCTCTCATCCCTCGCAGCTGCAGCCGGTAAGTTTCAAATCTTTTTGGAGCTGTCCTATATACACTCTCAAACTCACACCATCTAGGCTGGCCCACTGCCGTCGCCCCCCTCGGCGCTCCGAAGTTGAACGGCCAACCTTTCGGTCTCGTCCTCACCTCTCCCCCGCATACAGAGCATCTCCTTCTCCAATTCCTCACCGCATACGAGGCCACTTTCCCTCCCCGCGCGCAGCCACTTCCATTGCATACAGGTAAGTAAATTTACGCTATAAAAAGCTTCTAGGAGTCGTTCATTTGACTGTCTGTTCATTTGCAGTGCCTTTCATGTCCCCAGACGAAGAACTACTCCCCGACAAACCAATAGTCGAAATGATACTGCACGAATGGGATACGCGACGGTTCAGCTGCTCCGCGGATGCCCTAGCAGATTGATTAAATGCTCGATGGCGGAAGTGAGAACCCCCCTCATCTGTGCTTTTATTACTTTCCTAATGCTACTTCCAGGTCGGGCTATGAACTGAGCCCCGAAACAATCTGCGAAGTGCTAAGAAGCCATGGCAGGATTGCGTTTAGGGGATGGCGATGACGCCGAGGGCGCTTTCGAGGGGTAATGTTTATCAGGATGGCACGCCACGAAAGCGCAGGATCCTGATTAAGATGCGCATTTGTCGTGTGGTTTTCGTGATACGGCGTTTG